CCCGCCCCCCCCCCCCCCCTCCCCCCCCCCCCCCCCCCCCCCCCCCCGGTGTGGATAGGATAATATGACTTCCTGGTTCCGCACATACGGCAGCGTCCCTCTGTGTCTCCTGCTCTGCTGCGTGGTGGTTGCTGTCAGCGCAGAAGCCTCCGGCGCCGGTGAGTGGAGGCTCATTAGGGCCAATTACCTACATCACAACCCAGCAATTAGCCTGCTTCTTGTGTCATGTCAAGACATCAGCTCCCGTTCTGTGCTCCAAAATGTTTCATGTAAGCGAGCCACTTTATGAGCATTTGAGAATGATATTAACTTTCATTACGGCATATGTTTTAAGGGGAGACTGTGGACCTTTGAACATAGCAGCCAGACCTATAAGCTGTCTCATTTAACATACATTAAAGCCTATTCAATTTTAAAGGAGAAACCTCTAAACGCACAACCAGGGGACCCACTGGAGAAGCCTATCATCCTCTTGTTTCAGCATGTATTCATCAATTAGAAGTTAAACACTTCACCTATTCTGAGGTTTGCCAGAGGGAGAGCTAATTGGGTCAGAGCTGCTTGTTAGTGGGCTGTTAGTGATTCTATAGGACCTGCAGCATTTCTCTGTCCTACATTACAGCCCCGCAGCTCACTGAAATGACTCTGCAAAATTAGATTTCTGAGGACAAATCACTCCAATGAATCATTAATCCCACTGCAGTAAACTAAAGGTTTATTTTGTGCCTTTTGTCACCCTGTAAAAACCTCCAGTGTCTACATCATGCTGTATTTCTCTCCCAACAGTTGCATTTGTCACAGTGTTTTCACTCCATTAAAACGTAATCATTTGTGTTGCATTCACAGATTGTCTCACGATTAGTCCTCGCTGTGCGTCTGTGTGTGTGGGTGTGGGAAATGATCCTTTGCACTCCAACAACTCGAGCACCTGTTCCCACACTCACAGCCGTTTTCCCACTACACGGCTTGCTGATACGTACTGAATAGCCTCACATGAGATGCTAAGTGGTGCTTCCGTCGTCAGAAGTGTGCGTGAGATCTCTAAATATCCACAGGGGCTCGGCTGCATGGCTAATGAGTGTTGACCCACTCTGTCTTTCATATGCTAATCATTGAGTCTTCTCTTCATCCCATTTCTCCGTCATCTCTCTCTCTCTCTCTCTCTCTCTCTGCAGTTGACAGTGCATGTTGGTCTCCTAGTGTCACTTCTTGTGCAGATTGCCTCAGACGTGGACCACAGTGTGCCTGGTGCTTCAAGGAGGTAGGAATGTGTATAAAAAGTGCGTGTTTGAGTGTGACAGGGAAAGGGAGAAAAGGAGAATGTTACAGCATTCCTCAGATGACACACACCGAAGCTTTGATGCCATCCACAGATGCGAATATAATGTGTATGGTCGGGCTTGGTGGCCTGCTCTATGACCTGTGTGAGTGTGTGAGTGTGTCTGTGTATATGTGTGTGTGAATGTTTCCATGTGTGCTTTCTCATGCCGCAGCAGAGACAGAGCCACTTTCTATCCATGTGTTTAGTCTAGGCACTCACACATATCACTGCACTTTTTCTCGAAGTGTGCATCCTCCTTTATGTTTGTCTGTATCTGCTTCCTGGGTCTTGTAAAGAGCCCACCCCGAATCAACCCTGAGAAGCTGTAAAGCCTTCCAGTGCCACACCAGTCACAAAATACACACACACACACACACACACACACACACACACAAACTGCACCGTCTAGACTAGGCTGTCAACATGTGTGTGTTTACAGACCTCAGGTGCTTTCCCATCTTGTGAGGCCTAACCTTAACTGACATCATTAAGAGGGGCCGGGCTCGTTGGTGTGTGAAAGCATTCAAATGCCAGATCTCTAACCTCCTACACACACACACACACACACCCACACACACACACAAAATGTCACACAAGCATGCTTGGACACGGTTTGAATAGTACAGTGCTTGTAAACATTCATGATCACTTTTTGCCATTGACATTCAGTGTCAGGAGAAGTGGCAAACTAAGGGAAGTCCAGGGAAAGTCACTGTACAGCCCTCTGGTGTTCAAATTATAACCACATAAGCATGGTCACACAATTCGCTTCAGTTGTTTACTGCAGACTGTTTTGCTTATCTGCAACAGTATTTCTGTTTTAAAAGTAGCAGTAATCTCATTTAATTGCACCATTTTATTCCTTGTTTGCGTGATCTTGTTGGTTGTATCAGACTCATTCCAATCAGGCCCATGACATGCTGTGAATACACACATTTAATGATCACATTTGTTGTTGCGAGTGCTAGTCACTGTGTGGCATGTTTGTCACAGAGGAAAGTACCAAAGGTCACTAATCCACTCCAAAGCTGCAATGCATGACGCTGTTGTACTGTACTGTCGGAGGCAGCGGCGTGGTTAGATACAGCGAGATTCATTCAATGAAGCGATGATTAAATCATATACTCAATAAGAAAAAGCCAATTGGAGCATTTACTCTTTTCTATCAAAGTTGCTACTTTCATTTAAATATACTCTCCTCTGTAATCAGTATCGGAGATATTAGAGCTCGACACAAACAGGACACTTCTTCCTGACACACTAAACTGATGAGTAGCTACAGGATCACATGATATGGTAATGGTTCTCATGTTCACTAGGCCTCAACCTACGTCACAGATCAATACAAACATCATGAAAATGACTGAAACGAAACCAAGGTTGAGTTATTGTGAAACTGGTTTCAAAATGCCGTGTCTGAGTTACAGAGAGATCATGGAGGTGGGTGAAATAACAAATGACACACTCTGTACTCTGGAGTGTTTGTGTGTCTACTTCTATATTTCTGAAAGGATGTAGTGGGCAACATTAGAAGAGGATTGGATAGTAAGTAAGGACTACAGGCTATATTTGGCGGCATTATTGCGTCTTGCCCCTTGGGTCACAGAGGATAATGTGGTGTTCAACTTGACCCGCTTCATTGTGTCACTTGTTCTCATTCCTGAAATGCGATTATCATGATAACAGCTTAAAATACGGCTTAGTTGTATTATCTCTTGTAAGCTTTACTGCTCTGTCTTGTTTAGCATTGTCTGTGTTGCTTTCTACATTTTTTTTTTATTGAAAACTGCAAATAAAATATATTAAAAGAAGATCATAGTGACAGAAGGACTTTTTTCAAAAGTCACCATTTCCCTTCTCTACCAGGACTTTCTGGATGGGGTGGGGCCGAGCCAGCGCTGCGACCTGCCAGTGAAGCTGTTCAGGAGAGGCTGTGATCAGGAGTTCATGGAGCAGTCAGAGATCAAGGTGGAGGTCAACGCCACCATCAGTAGCACACAAGTGTCCCCACAAGACATCAGCATCACCCTCAGACCAGGTAGACGACGGGCAACTCTGTGTTTGTGCCTCGATTGCAACATTTAGTCAAGTGTCAAATAGTGTATCTCTGATTTGGGCTGCTTTCTTATTGTCTTAGTGTGTGATGAAGCAGCTGAGGTAAAGTTTTTAATGAATTATTTCATCATATGCGTGTGTCTGCCTAGGTTCAGAGGCCAGCGTCGTGGTGGCTGTGAAGCAGCTGGAGCGTTATCCAGTGGATCTGTACTGCCTGGTTGATGTATCGGCATCTATGCAGGAAAACCTGGATCATGTAGGTGTTCATCAGTGCTGACGATTTTCACTTCTTTTTCTAAAGAAAAGAGTTTGAAAGGTTGAAACTAATTTCTGGATCATCACAACTTTCTTTCACACATATTGTTTTTATGATGGTTGGAAAAACTCAAGACTTATAAAAACAGTTTGGTATTACATCATTGGGGCTTATGAGATGGCTACTGTCTTTACATTTGGCATGGAATACACTGCAAAAATGTCAGAGCTCAGACTAATTTATTTAAATGTTGTTTCAATTATTTAAGATATTTGAATGAATCTCTTTGAAGAAAGTGTTTTCTTCTCTTGACCCCGTCTCACCCTTTACCTCTTCATGCTTTTCTACTTCTCCCCCTCGCCGTCCTTTACTCGCCTCCGGCTGTCCCATTCTGCATCCACCAACCTCGCCATGTTTTCTGCGGTCCAGTTGAAGACAGTGGGTGTGGCGCTGTCTCTTCGTATGACGGAGCACTCCTCGGACCTTTGGCTGGGTTTCGGTTCGTTTGTGGACAAACCTGTCTCCCCTTACATCAATGTCCACCCCTCCAAGATCAACAACCCCTGCAGGTAAGACACACCATCTCTTGGTTGGATTATTGATTGTTGCAAAAGAAAAGTAGGGTTAATCCTCTCTATGTAGCTCATTTTGTGAATGTTCGTGCAATGTATGAAATAGATAGTTGACACTTTCAAAGTTTGTCTTGTTCTACTCCTCCGCTAACCTTTTCTTCTTTTAATGAGACAGGAAAAGTGGTGATTTAAAAATGCATACAAGCAAGCTGCTCCCGTTAGTTGCTCCCACGTGTGACTCAGTGAGAGACTCATCAGTTGTTAGGCGGCAACGAGCTGTGCTGTGAGACAGGCTTTTGCCATTCATTTGTCCTGACATCTACATCCTTAAATGCTGCAATCAAAAACTTTCTGGGCCGTCTCCGTCTCTCACCAGTGATTATGAGATCCGCTGTCGTCCAGCCCACGGCTTCCACCACGTCCTGAGTATGACCGGTAATGTGAGCGAGTTCACGCGTGTGATCAAACGCCAGCGCATCTCCGGAAACATGGACACACCTGAGGGAGGACTGGATGCTATGATGCAAGCCGCTGTCTGCCAGGTGTGTATATACACAAGCTGGAAAGTCATGCTCACATGAGCTACTTGTGTGTGCAACAAAGAGAAACAGAGTTAGCTAAATATTTTTTGTGGTGGGTCATTTTCAGTTTCCTTGAGAATTAAGGAAAATTAGGCATTACCCCAAATTTGGTCGTAAGTCTGCATGCTGGTGAAAGAAGCATTTATTCTGGGAGAATGGTGGCACTCTGACTCAGCATTGGATATTACCACTGGAATCCCACTAAGTAATGACACCACTGCTGGGGTATGGCAGACACACAGAGTTGCTTATACTATGGCTGCAGGAGGGCTTTGAGTCACACCATGCAGGGGGGCCCTGAGTAACCAGCCTGCAGGGAAACACCACGGTGGTCATCACTCTAGAAATAGACTCTCCATTATGTCAGGCCTACTTATGAACTCACTGGGTTTCCTTAAATACATACGTGCACACACACAAAGTCACTCACATAAACTCATTTCTCTCACACTGTCTATGACAAGTCACTGACTTCAGACTCCACCAGTCTGTGACTGGTGGAGGAATTTCTGCTGTGTTTCCTTCAGTTGGGCATTACAGAAAGAGCTGATCACCACGGGAACTAATGTAGTGCAGATGATTAAGATGTTTGAATCTGCAGTTTCTTACCACATGTGTAAAAAATATATTGCATGCACATTATTTCCAGTCTGTGTAAATGTAGTTGAGTAGTGATGTAAGGGGATAAAAATGAGAGAATCTACCAAACTGCTCTCCAGAGACAGAATACACATGATTTACTCACATTACACAATGTCCTGACTCCTCTCCGTCTCTCCTTTAGAGATCGGTGGGTTGGCGACCAGAAGCCAAGCGCCTACTGCTCCTGATGACGGACCAGCCGTCTCACCTCGCCCTGGACAGCCGGCTGGCAGGGATTGTGACGCCACACGACGGCCTGTGTCACCTGGAAAACAATGTCTACACAGGGAGCACTAGGATGGTGAGAGCAGGGGGACACTTACACATGGTGGGAAGACGGGCTTAAAAGAGCTGAACCTTGAAATGAGTCCTGTGGATTTGTGTAAGGAACAAACAAGATACACTGTTTTTTTAATTTGTGAATGTTAGGGGTTCTGGAAGACAGATTGTATTACCTTTGGCTAGCTGTTTTTGGCTGTTTTTTAGTCTAAGCTGCTGCTGATGATAGCTTCATATTTACTGTATAGAGAAATAGTTATCTTTGTATCTAACTCTTGCCAAGAAAACAAATATGTTTATTTCCCTAAATGTCAAACTACATGCGAACAGAAATGCTTTCCTGAAAAAAGTTTTTTTAGCATTTAGTCTGATGGCTGTCTCCTTTTCAGGACCATCCCAGTGTGGGTCAGTTGTCTGATAAGCTGCTTGAAAACCATATGCACTCCATCTTCGCTGTGGAGAAGCAGCAGTACCAGTGGTACAAGGTAATCTCTTCCACACATTTGCACACAACACTATACAGTACAGTTGTGTGAAAAAGTGTTTGCCCCCTTCCTGATTTCTTATTTTTTTGCATGTTTGTCACACTTAAATGTTTCAGATCATCAAACAAATTTAAATATTAGACAAAGATAACACAAGTAAACACAAAATGCAGTTTTTAAATGAAGGTTTTTATTATTATGGGGGGGAAAAAAAATCCAAACCTACATGGCCCTGTGTGAAAAAGTGATTGCCTCCCCCCTGTTAAAACATAAATTAACTGTGGTTTATCACATCTTTGGAAAGCTGAGTTCAATTTCTCTAGCCACACCCAGGCCTGATTCCTGCCACACCTGTTCTCAATCAAGAAATCACTTAAATAGGACCTGCCTGACAAAGTGAGGTAGACCAAAAGATCCTCAAAAGCTAGACATCATGCTGCGATCCAAAGAAATTCAGGAACAAATGAGAAACAAAGTAATTGAGATCTATCAGTCTGGAAAAGGTTACAAAGCCATTTCTAAAGCTTTGGGACTCCAGCGAACCACAGTGAGAGCCATTATCCACAAATGGCGAAAACATGGAACAGTGGTGAACCTTCCCAGGAGTGGCCGGCCGACCAAAATTACCCCAAGAGCGCAGCGACGACTCATCCAAGAGGTCACAAAAGACCCCAGAACAACATCCAAAGAACTGCAGGCCTCACTTGCCTCAATTAAGGTCAGTGTTCATGACTCCACCATAAGAAAGAGACTGGGCAAAAATGGCCTGCAAGGCAGAGTTCCAAGACGAAAACCACTGCTGAGCAAAAAGAACATAAAGGCTCGTCTGTTTTGCCAGAAAACATCTTGATGATCCCCAAGACTTTTGGGAAAATACTCTGTGGACTGACGAGACAAAAGTTGAACTTTTTGGAAAGTGTATGTCCCATTACATCTGGCGTAAAAGTAACACGGCATTTCAGAAAAGGAACATCATACCAACAGTAAAATATGGTGGTGGTAGTGTGATGGTCTGGGGCTGTTTTGCTGCTTCAGGACCTGGAAGACTTGCTGTGGTAAATGGAACCATGAATTCTGCTGTCTACCAAAAAATCCTGGAGGAGAATGTCCGGCCATCTGTTCGTGACCTCAAGCTGAAGCGCACTTGGGTTCTGCAGCAGGACAACGATCCAAAACACACCAGCAAGTCCACCTCTGAATGGCTTAAGAAAAACAAAATGAAGACTTTGGAGTGGCCTAGTCAAAGTCCCGACCTGAATCCGATTGAGATGCCGTGGCATGACCTTAAAAAGGCGGTTCATGCTCGAAAACCCTCCAATGTGGCTGAATTACAACAATTCTGCAAAGATGAGTGGGCCAAAATTCCTCTACAGCGCTGTAAAAGACTCATTGCCAGTTATCGCAAACGCTTGATTGCAGTTGTTGCTGCTAAGGGTGGCCCAACCAGTTATTAGGTTTAGGGGGCAATCACTTTTTCACACAGGGCCATGTAGGTTTGGATTTTTTTTCCCCCTTAATAATAAAAACCTTCATTTAAAAACTGCGTTTTGTGTTTACTTGTGTTATCTTTGTCTAATATTTAAATTTGTTTGATGATCTGAAACATTTAAGTGTGACAAACATGCAAAAAAATAAGAAATCAGGAAGGGGGCAAACACTTTTTCGCACAACTGTATATAAATTGAAAAAAACATGTTGCCACATAGTTTTTATGCTAGGGAGGCTTCCATAAAGGGGAATCTATTTAAATTTTCACTCTTCTCCCTTTTCTTCTTTAGGAGTTGGTACGTTTGCTACCTGGCTCCTACCTGGGAAAGTTAGGCCTCTTCCAGGCCCCAAACCTTATAGAGCTGGTGGTGGACGCATACAAGGTACAGAGCACTCACCTCCTTTGCAACTTATTTCTCATTTTTGTCCTCCCTCTGTATAGTATTCATCTTTCAGACAACAAGGAGAAGGACAGGAACAAGTGAAAAGTTAGAGAGAAGAGAGCAGCAGCACAGCAGGAGCTGAATATATGAGCCCACACAGTATCAGTTCAAAGTGTTTGTCTGCTGATCTGCTGACTCACATGAACTTGGCTCATAGCACTGATCGCACATTCCTGTTTGCAGCAAAAAGAATAGGTGATACTACAGAAAGTGTGCACTGTTATATTTATACAGGAGATTTAGGTTTAGGAGTGCAGAAAAAGGACAGGCACTTGTAATACAAACTTAAATTCTGAAGTTGAAGACTATTGGAGATGTTTTTGGGCACCGAAGTCCTAATGAAACAGAGAAACACGGATGAGAACAGGAGGTTATGGAGGGGTAAGGCATTGTGTGTGTGTGTGTGTGTGTTTTTGTGTGTGTGTGTGTGTGTGTGTGATACTAGGGATTTGTTCAGTTGGCAGCATTCTAGGCTATAATCTTGCCTCAGGCACAGCGCTCCATTGTTTGCTTCGAGAATCTGCCGAATCCAAAGATCCGGGTGCACAGCCATGCATACGTGCAGACACACACACACACACACACACACACGCATACACGCATACACAAGCAGCAGAGGCTGAACAGAAGCTGGCATTATAATAGCTATCACATCCCCACGGAAACCATAAGTCCTAATCATGGACGAATACAAAGATGCTATTTTTGGCCCCATTTCTTTTCCCCCTGTATTTTACAAAGAAAGAAAGAAAGGCATTCTGGGGACATGTGACAACTTTAATTAATCACACTTCTCCCTTTCTGTATCTCTTCCTCACTCTCGCCTCATTACTTTCCACTCAGACAGCTTATATTCATTACATTTTTAAACTGTCACTGTTTTTCCCACTCCCTTTTGTCATAACCCACATTCCCTTGCAACCAGCATAATACATTGAATTCCTTGATATCAGGCAGTAAAGTTAATGTCGCTTCTTATCTGTCTCCGTACTCGCTCCATCCAGAGGTTGTTGTCGGAGGTGGCAGTATCCGTGTCAGTGGAGGACAAGGCAGTCAGCAGGTACTGGGTGTCTGTCTCTCCTCTCTGTCCCAATGGATCCACCGCAAAGGACCAGAGTTGCTCGGGGGTGCAGCCCGGCCAGATGGTAAACACACAAGCGTACCTTCAGAAAAACAACAAAATCAAAGCATACATTCGGTTAAAACAGTGCCAGAATTTAGCTGAATGTTACTCGCTTTTGTACGGAAATCTTTGATTTAAGCTCCGGGATATGTCACAGGAAATGTATTGGTTGTATTGGATTACTTTTGACAAATACAAACGCACTCACACACATGTCACTGAGAGCTAAAGATTTGGTAAATAATCCGAGTTGAGCAGATTACAGGCAGTGTTTACCAGGAAAACATTGCCATGTGATTCCATGACCTATTCGTCCTAAAAATCCTTACCTTGCCCAATATAAGAGCCTTTTTGCAAACAAATGGGACATTTATATTTAGAAATAGGTCACTGGACATCCTCTTTGTGGATAAATGGAACAGGTATGAAAACAGTGGAACACTTTAAATAGTCTGCACCACTGCAGAGGAGCTTTTCTGCTGCAGTAGTAATGATAATACAAAAGACTACTCTTTTAACACTCCTCTCCCCAGTAACCTTTTGGGGCTCTTAACTTTATTCCAAGATACTTAATGATTGCTCTATAGTTACTCCATTGTGCTAATAGACTGAAGTCCAGCCCTTTAATCCACGGGTGGATTAAAGTGGATTATGGAAAGTACCCACACTTACCAGAATGGGAATCAAGTGAAAGGCCTGCCTGTAGATTCAAAGCTTTGGCATGCACATGAACAGAAGAATTATTCACATGACGCATCACACTTAGAATCCACTTCCTGGTAAGATAAGTAACCAGGAAGTATTTAAGTCTTATCAGAGATTGCCAAAATTATACTATGAAAGGTGGCTCATTTTAGATTTACAGCAGGACTTTCGGACTTTGGGGAAAAATACATTTTTACACTCAGCGGCATTTCTCTGGATCTGTGTAGGATCTCTAAAGCGACAGCAGACTCTTGAGAAAGAAATGGTTGTTGAATAGTCAATCATTCATTTGTTTACCAGCCACGACAGCGACGCTGACATTGTTTCCACCTTGTGAGGTATTCATTTTTCTGTTGGTCGGTGGAAAGATTTTGTCACCGCGATAGCGTCACAACCATGCCAGATGCAGTCATAACACTTTACAGATGTATAGCTGAGATCTAAATGAAGGTTGAGTTTAAAGATGGATGCAGTCCTACCAAGCGTGCCGGGAGATAGTTTTTAAATCTGTCTTGCCTTACATGAATATTTGTCACACTTTCCCCTTTCTGACAGGGAAGACAACAGAATAAGCTATTTATATCTCCACAATTTTGGAGATTTTCAGTATGTCAGGACTTGGTGATTGCAGTCTTACCTTTAATATTAATATATATAATATATATCCATTGAGTCGGCAGACATGCCAGCAGCTCTGTGAGGCTGTATTTAGGCACTGCAGCGGTCGTAAAGTAAAGTATTGGACAAATTAAAATCTTCACCTGATGATGGCGCTAGAGAAAAAAAGAAGGGAATCGCGAAAGTTACTAGGATTCGTTCTCTGGGCGCTATGAATGTCTGTACTAAATTTCATGGCAATCAATCCAATAGATATTTCAGTTTTGACCAAAGTGGTGATTAACCTTTTCATCTTCCCATGCAGGTTTACTTCAATATCACTATCGGAATGCACTCTTGTCCTGACGATGCTGAAGATGAAGACGTAACAGTGTCGGTTCGACCTGTGGGATATAACGAATCCACCGTCATTAGGATCCACTCTAAATGCGGCTGCAGTTGTGGACCAATGAGGCGCTGCAATGACGACAGCCAATGCAGAGGAAGCTCCGATCAGGAGCAGAGGCCAGATCACGGACTAATTAAGGGCTCAGACAGAGATTCAAACTGGAATTGCAGAGCGGACGGGTCTGACGTGGACTGCAGTGGTCGGGGAGTGTGTGAGTGTGGGAGGTGTGTGTGCGAGCAGACCAGGCTTGGCACAGTATATGGGAAATACTGCGAGATAGATGACTTCTCCTGTCCGTACGAAGGGGGACTGCTGTGTGGAGGTAAGCTTCAAAATGATATATTTTGAACATCTAGTTCCTAAGAAACATACAGTCTGCAATTCTTCTCTGTGCTTCTGTATCACACTTTCCTTCCGCCTCTATCTGTCTTTCTCAGGGCGTGGTGTGTGTGTGTCAGGTGAGTGCGTGTGCGAGGACGACTGGACTGGTGATAGCTGTGGTTGTCCCGTCTCCACGGCAAACTGCCAATCAGCCAACGGCTTGCTGTGCAGCGGGCGGGGCAGATGTACGTGTGGCAAGTGTGTGTGCGACGACCCTCGGCGCTCTGGAGACTTCTGTGAGAGATGCCCTGCTTGCCAAAGCACCTGCCAATCATACTGGTACGTGTCGGTTTGTATTTGCGACCACAAAGCATGATGGGAGCTCTTACAGAACGATTTGTAGCTGAAGCTGACGCAGTTGCACTCTCTCTCTCTCTCTCTCAGGAAGTGTGTGGACTGCCACTTGTCTCACGGCCTCACACAAAAAGAGGCTGGACATTGCAACAACACCTGTGCACCACTGGTGGGCTACATGGATGTTGTATCAGGTACAGCTGCTCTGAAGGCAATTTTACACTTGAGCTTTGCACCATTTGCAATTTGGTGGAACTGAGGAAAGACTATGATGCATTTAAATTAGGTTTATTTCGAAGTCTGGGCTTCCTTCTTGTCAAAAAGATTCAGCCTCTCATTCACCATTTCAATTAGAACTTAAAGAGTAACTTAACACCAGATCAAAGAGTGTGTTGTAAAGTTAGGTCAATATCCGGATTCACCGGTCCGGTCCGGTGTGTCTAAACTGGTTTGAACCAGTATTTCTGTTCAACCTGTGCACGGCAGCGCAGGTTGTGTTTTGTGTTTAGGAGGTTCATGACAAGACCAGACATGGTAGAGAGCGTCTTTACTAAAACGTAAAAGTCATGGACGGCTGTCAAGTGCGACACTGAGAGCGGAAACTTGGTATACCAGTTTAGTCCGCTCTGTGGCTTAATATCAAACAGGTTCAAAGAAAATGTACGCTGGCTCAACCCTAGTCTGTTGCACCTCTGACCACACCAAACCATGATGTCACAATGCAGGTACACACCCTGCACTACACTTCTACATCAAAACAATGAGCCAAAAGAGCCAAAAAGGTGCAGTGAGGGCAATTGCAGAGTTGGGTGATAATTCTGTGGATTTGTCACTACCAGGGATACATTTCACATTACAGATGGTAATTTGATCCCTTGTTACAGAACTATAGAAATATTGATTGGTACAGATTTAAGGTAAAAAAAACTAAAGAGCTTTAAAACACAGCAGCTTTCTTGTAATGCTATTCTCACTGATTCTTTTGTTTGAAATAATCCTGGAGGATTTTCACTAGGCCTTGGAGCTTAATGTGTCTGGACTGAATAACATCTTACTTCAACTCTCTCTCTCTCTCTCTATATATATATATATATATATTTTTTTTTTTCAGGCCAAGCAGGGGAGATGTGGATTCAGTGTATGTACATCAGTAATGACAGCTGTCGCTATCAGTTTCAAACAAGCTCACAGTCTGGTCAGACTCAGCTTCACATCAGCACAAGACCAGGTATAATGTCAACACACACACACACACACACATCTCACGCATGCCTTCATTCGAGGTCACTTCCATTGCTACCACTGCTGCTCTACTGCACCCTGATGTATTTGAGTTAGCAAGCCTGCTGTCAGTTTTACAGCTGTATTTTACATTCCCCTCAGTTCCCAGCTCTCCTTCCTAATTTTCACAGCCATACACACACACACATACACCCACACAAACACACACAAACACATACATGCACAGACACGTACACACACAATTTAAAAGCCACTAATTCACACATACCCCGGGTTACACAGACACACAGAGAGAGACACACACACACACACACACACACACACACACACACACTATTGCACATTCAAGTGTTACAGTTCGTCCCCGCCTTCCCGATTTTTGGAACAGCACCGTTCATTGTGTGTCCCCCCCCCCCCCTCCATCTCCCCCTATCCCCTCACCTCCACCCCTCCACCCAATGGGACACTCTTCCGGCTCACGCCCACTCCTCCCGGGTGCAGCAGGAGCCAGGTCTCCATGGTAACCCTGTTACAAAATGTCAGAGCACTCTTTGGGCTCTTTGTGTTGAGCGATGAGCCCGTCATCCACACATGCTCCCCAGCAGATTCACAGCCAGCTGACTGTTCAGTGCAGCAACACTGGCACAGCTGCCACTGACCGAGCTGCGTAAGAGTGTCTGTTTGTTTGTACGGAAAGTAATTAAGTACATTACTCCAGCACAACTTTGAGGTATTTGTATTTTACAATGTAGTAGTAGCAGTATTTTCATGCTACTTTATAATTCCACTCCTCACTTCCAGACGTAAAACCTGCGAGCGTAAAAAACCTTTTTCTAACCCATCACATTTTCTGTCCCAGTTCCTCACAGTGAAACCCCATGTGTGTGTCCACAGAGTGTGCCAGCAACAGTCGGCTGGTAGGAACATTCATGAGTGTGTGTGCTCTGACATTGCTGTGTGGGCTGGTGGTGGTGGCCGTGTCCAGGCTGCTGCTACAGAAGAGAGGCTTGTCACCAAGGGGCGCTGCTGAGGACGGACCCTATCGCTGCACTGGAAAGGTTCGCTCTCTAAAGTCAAAGTATGCTTGAGGCGCTCATCAGCGCAGCAGGGTTTTAATTGAGATGTCCCTGGAGCCCCAGATGTATTAGGGAACCCTTAATTGTACAGGATATGTTTGTTCCTGTGTTCTGTCCGCTGAAACCAGGAGAGAGAATTCTGAGTCTGCTGTCAGAGGTACAGCTGTATTTTACATTTCCTCTCAACTCCCTGATCGCCATCTACTGCGTCCAGATTTGTGACTTCATAACGATGTACAGCACCTTTGAGAAGAAGGAAACGATGGAAATTACCACAGGGGGGCTTTCTGGAGATATATATGCCTAAACGTGTTTGGAAACCTCTCATTTATTCTACATGGTTCACCACAGATCATGGTGATCATATTTACATTAGCTTTGCAAGTATTTTAAAGCTGTACATACTTCCTCAAAGACTACATGATATAAAAAATGGTTACTCTCCACTTAAGCTGAACATTTATAAAATCCACATAAAATGAGCTGCTGTTACTAAAGACATTTTATAATTCTTTACTAGTTGCATGGACAACAATGCAGTCTATTAAAACATGTTTATAAAGTCTTCTGTTACAACTTAACCCATATGAAGGATTAAAGGTCAGGATATCTCCGCATATGCTACATTCAATTTGATCTCTCATGTCCTAAAATCAATACAACACTAAATCGAGTATCATGTTTTGGTTTGAGTGTGTCTGTGTATAATCAGGATGCATGCGTGTGTGTGTGTGTGTGTGTGTGTGTGTGTGTGTGTTGCTATTACTGACTGCATTGTTTTCACTATTCAGGACCCGTCATTCATCCCAACAAGCAACGAGAAGACTGTTACTTACAGGAGGGACTGTCCACCTGACCGCCCCGTGGAGATGCACATCCAGGTTCCCAAGATGCCCCTCGGTGACCCCTGGCAGTGCTAGGTCAAAGGTCAAGGTCGGAAAAGAAAGTCAGTAGAGCCATAAAGAAGGAGAGTCGCGTAAAGACTTCTTCTCTGCTTCTAAATTTTGGTAAATCTTCAACCAGCTGCATGTGGAGACTGATAACGATGAACTAAACTATGAAACCTCCATGGGATCACTTTTGTTAAATGAAGTGACCAAACCCTCATCGACTGTGTGACTAATGAGGCCAGTATCTTAGAAATTGAGATGAAACAAAGAGCACATATCTCCCACCTCCTCTTCCTCTGCTGCAACAGCAGGGAGGCTGCTCCTTCCACAGGGTAAAGGGTCATCATTTCTCGCTTTTTAGCCATGCAGCTCTAAGTTGTGTGTGTGTGTGTGTGTGTCAGAGTACGTGTGTTTGTGTGTGGAGCAGGTAGATGCATTTATGCTCTATACAGGCTTTCTATTTATGATTTTATAGTAAAACACTACATGTTTGACGTTTCTGTGATTGTGTGACACTCCAAATCTCCAACTAAACTATCTCCCTGCTGTCTTAGTCTGCCCTCCTGTGGCCAGCTTGAGGTACAACATTTTGTCTCTAATAATACTGTTAACACATTACTGACCTCAGCTGTACTGCCTTGGGATTTAAGTCACAGAGCACACAATGACGCTGTATGCCTCTTTTTTATTTCATTTGTGGCATACCCTGTCTTCTAGTTTCTTTGTTGTATTTTGTTTTTGTTAACCGATCAACTGCATTGCAAATTATTGTTACTTTGTGGCATTTTTCTATGATGATAAGTTAAAATATAGTTTCATGTGTTTTTGATAAATTGGTTAGACTTGCACTAGAACAGTTGTGTTGCATTATACTACTGAGGACTGTGGGGTCTCTGGGGTAGGAGAGCTGTGACGCTGGGTTTGAAACGATTGGTTTGCGATATATTGGGCATTAGAACATTAAGTGCATTCCAAGCTAATTTAACAAATCCACAACACTGGAATAACAATGAACTGGAAGATAATGTTTAAAGTAATCAACATACTGACAATTAATGGCAACAGCACCATCAAACGCTTGTGCATGTGGCCTCTCTAACAGCGACAGAACCACAACTGTGTCCGCATACATCTGCTGATCATCCCAGTGCCATCAGTGATGAGTTTAGACTCAACAAACCATCTCTGAAGGTACTGAGATCAGAGGTGGAATTACACCACTCATGCACTTGATCATCTGCATCCAGAGTGCCGGTTGCATCTTGTGAGACTTTCGCTTGCCCAATCCTGTTTCTTCTTTTTTAATTTTATTCAACACAATGTTGTTTACAGCAATAGCTGCTCTTTTACTGTAAGTCAGGAACACTAATTATTTATTGTGATTTTGTTGTTTTTTTTTTTTTAAATATATGTGAATTGTGCTATTTTGTGATGAGGCTACCTGTATTACAGGTAGTGAGTACTGTTTGTGTTTATGAAGAGCGGTCTCTGTCTCTAACCGTGAGAATAATTCAGCAATAAGGTTATAAGCATCTCATCTAACCGGGCACTGAGTTCGGAATAACAACAGCACTTTTCTGTGTGGTTTTGCTGTCAATTAATGTGACTAGTTGTGTAGCATGAATTTTTTTCATCACAATAAAATGTGCAAGATTTTTAAAATCATTTCTTGAGTACTTTAGCTTTTCTGAACCAACATGTTGTATAGAAATCCATGTTAGTGTGGTGAAACGTGACCATATCTATTAGAAGGCAGTAACTAATTAGGCTGTGTCATTTGACAGCTTGTATATTTTTTAATGAATATAAAGCCAATGTTTTCAGTTCAGTTGAACGTACAGCTTTGTGCAAATCTTGAAAATATATACTGTATATCAAGGTGTGACCAACGCATGTTGTCCAAAAAACTGGTGACTGTATAAACTGAACACTAGGTGGAGTTGCTCACTAAGGTATGAGATGAGTGTTACTGATCACTGTAAATATTATAGATATAAATATAAGCAATAGGCAGTTACAGAAAGTGTGCAAAATACAATGTTTGATAAATGATTCGATATTCTTTCTTCAACAGTGCAGCTCTGACTTGCAATCGTTTCAGAAGCTTAATCAGACAAATTAAATTTTCATAATCCTGCTATAGGCCTCAGTTATACTCAAATGAAATATGACTTCTATTTGTAACTGATTTAATGGTGCACATCTGTACAAACAATGTCTGATAGACCAAAAATCAATGAATCAAATCAACAGTCAGTTTTAGAAATACGCTGAATAGATAAACTTCAGGTGCCTAAAATATAAATTATGAAATAGTCTGATTAACTCTATAGCAGTTCATTTGTGCGTATTTTTTCCCTGGTTTAGAATAGTCAAAATAGTTATTAGATATTAGTTATATGCTGTTTTATTTTTTGTATTTATATATTTACTGATATATGCAAAAGGCTTCGGCAAAATCATACGACTTTCAGCTTTAACGAGCAACTAACAACGTCCAAACATTGTCCTGTTTTATTGAGTTATAATTCATAATCATGACTTACAAACAGAGACAAATCATGAAAATGTAGTCTTTTAACCAAACATAGCATAACCTTAAATTGAAATGAATTAATAAATAATTAATAAGCGCGATTATGGCCAGAAATAACGCAAATAACGATATGACAAGCCACTTGTTTAATTTCCAAACAAAAATATTTTTTGTAGAATAAATTAGGCGCATATGTTTTCAAATAACACAAGTCTGATAAGCTGTAGAGTACAAATTTATTTTTTAAGAAGGCTACAAATAAGATGAGGTAAGGACACAGAGTTCATCCACAGCTGAAGTTCATCATAAAGTGCCATTTCAATTTTTAAGTGTCCAAGAAAACACACTCCATACAGGCTGATACAGTGTTATCGAATGCCCACGTGTTGCTTTGTAAATCATTTCTCCGCCCTCTGTCCCTCGGTGGTTTGGACAGTCTGACGCACCTGTACCCCGGGAGACTGACTCGGGCTACCGGCGAGGCTATTGTCCGTGTCGCTGCTCCCTTTACCGAGTCCCGGTTCCGCGCCATCCTCTGAGCCCTCCGCGCTGTGCGTCCTCGCATGCTTGTTGAGGTGGTCGGAGCGCATAAACCGTTTGTGGCAAATTGGGCACTCAAATCGCTTCTCCCCGGTGTGCGTGCGTAAATGCCGCTGCAGCTCGTCGGAGCGCGTGAAGCGTTTCCCGCAGAAGAGCCAGTTACAGACAAACGGCCTCTCCCCGGTGTGCCAGCGCAGGTGAGCCTTCAGGTGAGAGGTCTTGCCGTAAACTTTACCACAACCCGGGATGTGGCAGCTGTGCAAGCCCCTCCGCCGCGGACTCGTGCCCCCCTGGCCAAGGCTCTCCGCCTCCTGGCAGTTCGGACAGTCGCACGTGGCTCTGCCAGAGTAGCGCCTTGAGGAGGAGCGGGAAGATGCGGGCAGAGAAACCACGGGGGTTCCTGTCAGAGCAGGTGCCCCCGTCGTTGTAGACTCTGTGTAGGCAGCATGGACAGGGGGCCTGAAGCCGTCAAACAGGTGCTGAGTGGCAGGGTGCATGTGCTGAGAGGCCCCGGGGCTGAAGGCGGAGCTGTAGTCAGTGTTGTAGCCGCTCAGAGGAGAGGGTAACCCAGCCTGGCTCTGTGTGTCCACCCAGCTGGTTCCCATGTCCCACCAAGCAGCAGACCCGTTACTGACATCTCCCACTGGCTTGAACCATGAGTCGTAGGGATGAGCGTGCATCCTCGGATAAATCCCGGCTATGCCTTCCACCGACGACGGGAATTTGGTCAGAAACACAGACCGCTGTGTGTGCGAGGGATCGGGAGCACTGTTTTCTGATGGCACGGAGGACTGGTACATCGAAATGTCATTTCCAAAAGGCGAGTTGGCAGTGGTCACTGAGAAAGCGCTAGAGGTCTCCGTAAAGCCCGCCCCGTTACCCCTGGAGGGAACCCCGACAGGGGTGAAGCAAGCCCCAAGGTTGCTGGTACCCGGGGCGCCTCGTTTCCACGGGTGAAACCCCTTCACGTATCCCGGCACACCATCGGAAAGAGCAGGGGAGCAAGAAGGGCTGGACTCGCCGATTCTGCTGCAGGTGGCGGCCAACATTGCCAGCGGTGTGCTACCGAGCCGGGGCTCCTCCTGTGGGGAACCCACAGATATTATAGGCCTGCCACTCCAGAGACATGGCCAAACATAATGTGTGCGTAAAGACGCGCCACATATTAGATTGATCACTCGATTTGCGTAAAATGTTTGGTCTCGCAAATTAAATATTAAAGTCATGTGAATTATTAATGTGGCATAGTTTAAGTTTTACAGTGTGCCTCTGGCCTCATATTATGAATAACAAATAACATAGATATATATGTTAATGACATCATCAGATTAATCACATTATAAGTGCCTCTTCCTTTTATTAAAAACATGTATACTTCCGACAGCTCTACGGGTATCAGCTTTCACTAACTGGCATGATCAGTGAAAACAACAAACTGAAGAATGAAAACAATAACTGTCGGATTAATAGAGTATACCAATGATATGAATGAATATTACTGGTTAATGCAGCAACACGACAGGAGTTAAACACCTTAAAGTGCGAAGTTAACTGGGTTCCCTGAATACCACAGACACACTGAGTCATTAATAACATTACAACATCATATAACCAATACTTTAGAGATTTCTTGGATAAGGATGTTCAGCAAACACAACTTACCCCTAGCAGTGTAGCAGCCATGGTATCTCCGTGTGTGTGTGTGTGTGCGCTCGCGGTAACCGAACGTGATGATTCTGCGTTTCCTCTCCGACTGCTTCAGTAGTTGTGACTTCTTCGTGCCTTTGAAGTGCCGCTGAGAGTCCGGGGACCAATCAGAGAGCAGCTCAGACTATCACTAAACATTAGCGCTTGAGGTCGTCGTAAATTTGAAAAGTGAGATCTCGCGACTCTCACGTGCTCCAAATTGCAGAGAGAGAATATGAAAAGAAAACACGAAGTTCAAGACAATAAATTCAGTTTAACCAGAACACACACCCTTCACACTAACTCACTCTCTTCACTTCAAACAGTCATGACTGACCTTGTACATGTGCCATCTTGTTATTAGACATGGTAGCAGTTTTAATTAGCAGTTATCAAGTGTTTGTTTATTTAACCTAGCAGTTGTTTTTTTGTATTTCTACAGAGCTCAAACACCAAAAGGCTCCATTATGAACCAGGAAAGGTAAGGGGGAAATGGCCCTACTGGACCTTAAAGATCCAGGTCACTGTGGGAACCAATTCAATTTTAAATTTGTAAATTGTTTGTGAATAATACCCACAATTTAACCAACAACAAAGATAGCAATTGAAAAACTCAAAAGCAACAGCACTTTCCAGATAGAGGAGCACTTTGTGGACAGTTTAGACAAGCACGTTTTAGTGCGTTTAGGTAAAGGTTAACCTTGCATGTTTCAGACAGGAAGCCTTTGTTTCAGCTATACAGCCTGATTGTTTTTTTAACTGATGTTGTGAAGTCATACAGAGATGGATGCTGATGAATGAGAGGCAGGCCCGGTCCATCCCATCCTGTCCCTGGGGCGTATCTAGACAGCCCTGGGGCAGGGAGGGGAGGACACCACCACTGCCTCCACAATTTCATCTCATTCAACACAAAACAAATGTTGTCTTTCAAAAAAACACCTCTTCCTGTGCTTTCCTCAATTCTATAGATCATTTAAATACTCGTCCCAGCTCACACTCAAGCTGTATACACTGTGAGGGAGAGCTTTTATCAATACATACTCCTATTCTTAAATCATGGGTGATTGACCAATATGACAACGCACTCCCAGAAATAACCCAGAATGATCTTCAGCCTCTTTATATATGAGCAAAGCCACAGAGGGAGCATTTCATTTGAATTTCAAATTTAATAAAACAGCAGGATTTAATCCATTTCCTTCATTTGTTTGGTATTAACTGCTTCCCTGCCCGTTCTTCATCTCTCTTGTTCTATCATCCTGAATGAAGTCAGCTGGACACACATAGATGGAAAAGTTAATCACATTCCTCATCCACTCAACCCCCCAGCGCACACACGCACACACACACATACACACACACACCCCGTGTACACTGGGTGATTGATAGTGCGCAAGATTAATTTTGGTGATGCTATGCAAAGACAAATAGTTCACTCTATCAGCAAGCTTACATTCAACACTTTTCTTTAAAAACGTTTTAGGAGATAATTTTTTAAATGTATAAAGGTAAGAGTAGGTTATGTACATTATGTTGAAAACAAGGCACATGGAGGTACCTCTAGTGTCTGATGTACAAATACACATACTAATTTTTCCACTCCTTTAAACAGATCTCTGTGCAGGTAGTCTATAATTTGCTCAAAGGGTTATTTACATTTTGTTCATCTTGGTTTGTGGGCTTTAAAAGCGGCTTTTGCACTGACTGGATTTTGTTACAGCACGTTGACCGCAGAAAGTTAAAACAAGAGAGCTCTGTTGTCAGATAGCCACGACTATGCTAAAGCTAAAAGTCAAAGCTTTAATCGATTATTTGTGAATGAAAGATATCCGTTTGTTGTTCCACATAGCCAAATGAGGCTTTAGCTAAATCAAACTATGATGGAGAAAAAACAAACAACAGC